AACTGCCCATAAGCTTTCCAAGGCTGGTGTGGCCGCTGTAGGATAGTGCTGGGCTGCGAACCACAAGGTCGGCAGTTCAAACCCAGCAACTGCTCCTTGGAAGCCCTATTCAGGGTCGTTATGAGTTAGAACCGACTCGACAACACTCAACAACAGCAACAATCTTTGGGAAGGAATGCTTTATCTTTTTCCTGCTGAGCAGCTGGTAGGCTTAAACAGACAACCTTTTGATCCGTAGTTGAGCACTTAACCAATATGCCACTAGTACTAGGATCCATGTAAATTTCACCGGATAGGGTTAGGAGTGTCGGATTTTAAATATTTTTTCATCTCCTACAGAGCCAAGCATAGTGTATCTTGTAAGCAGGACATTTTTTTGCAGACGATCTTGAATAGAAGACGTCTGACGCCAGTCTCAGTCTCAGGAGGAACCTTGAGCGTAAGGCTGCCGCTGGCCGGAACCCAAAGCTCAGGACGCTGCAGTGCCGGAGTCAATTTATGACTGAACGCAGCCTGCGGAAGTAGCGAGGGGTTGGGGCTGCGCTACCGGGTGAAAACTGCCAAAATGCTGCTGGATCTGCCCGAGGAACATAAGGAGCACTTGTCCTTCTTGCCAGGAGTGGACAGCGCGGGTCAGGAGTCAGAGGTTCTTGGGCTGGGGAGGGAGCCCGGGGAAGCACCCAGCGCTCACGATCTCTGGCTTCTGTTGCAGTGGTCGCGGAATTTGGGAGGATTGCGGTGGAGTTCCTGAGGCGTGGTTCGAACCCCAAGATATACGAAGGCGCTGCCAGTACGAAGGGAAGGGGCGCGGGCCCACAGGCGGCTCGGGAGTCGTGGGCCGCTCTCTGTTGCCCTGGGGAGATTGGTTTATTTAGATGCCACGGGTCTAGTTCCCAACACTTGATGGTAGCAAAGCGAAACAGTGAGGCGCAAATTCTGTGGGTCCCTTGAGTACTTGTGAGAATTTTTAAGCTTCTAAAGTCCATTTCCTAATGTGTAAAATTGGACATAACGTCACCTGCGTTTCAAGAGCTGATGCTTAAATGCACCAAAGTCTGGAATAGCTGGCCCGGGTGAAAATATTATGCAGTATTTGGTTACCATTACTTTTTCAAGCATCTGTCTGTGATGAAGTGTGTGTGCGTGATGTATGTGTGTTTCCCTAAAAGAGGGGTAGTTTTTAGTATTATAATCGGTCCCTCTCGAGTCCTTCCTCTGTGAGGTTTGAAAGAGTTCTGAAATCCCAGAAAAGGGCTGAGTGTGATGCTCCAGGGTCTGCATTTTTGTAAAGAAACTTACCAAAAGCTGTGGAGTCGATTGTGGCTCCTGCTGACTCCCTTTGTAAGACAGTAAAACTACCACGCAGGGTTTTCGTGACTTTATTTTTTACTTTCCATCCAAAGATTGGTAATTGAAAAACCGCCCCAACAGAGTTGCGGGAGAGAGGCCTGGCAATCTGCTTCTGTAAAGATTATAATCACGAAAACCCTGTGTACTCTGGAACACATAAAGTTGCTGTCAGTGGTGGGTGGGTAGGACACTCCACTGCAACTGACAACAATCTTTAAGGAAGTAGATCAGCCATTGTGTGCCATTGTTGTTGTTATGTGCCGTGGAGTCATTTCCGACCCATAGCGATCCTGTACAGGGTTTCCGGGGCTGTAAATCTTTAAAAGAGCAGAAAGCCTCATCTAGCTAGGTTTGCATCTCATCGACAAACCATTTGCACCAATCAGGAACCTTCAGCAAATAGTGCATCTGGTTGGGAGTGCATTGAGAACCTACAAGAGCAACTCATTTCTTATTGCATTATGTTTGAAAACGTGAAATAATAGATAGCATTTATTTTTAAAATAAGACTTTGAGTGAAAGAAAAATATCATAAACTATTTGCTAATATTCCTCTCCTTTTTCAGGAAAACTCAGTGTGAGTAGTGAAACCATCCAGCATGGTGTGGAAGGATTAACGTATCTCCTCACTGAGAGCTCAAAACTCATGGTAAGAGCTTCTGTGCACCGTTTTGTATTACCTAGACCCAGTCTGTGTATTCTATATCATAGCCCGTTGTTGTTGTTTGTTGTTGTTGTTAGGTGCCATCAAGTCGGTACCGACCCATAACGACCTTATGCATCTAGCTATAGATAAAATGTTATTGATGGTTTATAATTGATTTTGTAAAATATACCTAAATTATATGACTGTAATGTGACTTGCTGGTATTAATTCCTTTTGTTAGTAATTAGAATCACTTTCATAGCATGTATCCTAATGAAATGATTTATTTAGTTTTTCATATTGTATGGAGATTAAGAAGGAAAACTGGGCACTTACATTTTTTCTCTTTTTCACTTATTTAATAACTCATTATTGTGTATCAGAAACTCAAATTTTAGAACAATGGGCAAGAGTTATCCTTGTAAAGAATGTTTTCTATTTTACCACACAACAATGCATTAAAATATATCATTCTTTTGTTTATATCAAATATTTTTTTTAAAAAAATTAACATTCTATTAAACTCAATTCACTTTTAGATTTCTGAACTGGATTTCCAAGACTCTGTTTTTGTTCTGGGATTCTCTGAAGAATTGAATAGATTGTTGCTTCAGCTTTATTTGGACAACCGAAAGGAGATCAGAACTATTCTGAGTGAATTAGCACCAGACCTTCCCAGTTACCACAACCTGGAATGGAGACTAGATGTACAGGTGTGTTTTTGTTGTTGTTTTTACCTTACGTATAATAGAAGAATTGTTTTAGGTTTATCTTATGCTTATCATATTCTTTATAAACTTGAACCATACTCTAGTTTGAACACCTTGGTTTTTAAAATTTTTATTTTCAGACTATTTCACCAGTAGTTCATTTGCTGTATTTTTTGATAAATTCAAATTAGTTTAATTTGTAGATATTGTAAGACGTTGTTTTCTAAAAGCAGATGGTTATGCATATTTTTCAGATGGTGCTTTGATTTTTAAAAAATGTTCACTTTAAATATAACACACATATAGAAAAGTGCACAGGTCATAATTACATGTTTTTGTTGTTATAGTCCATTGAATGTGTCCCGATTCATAGTGAGCCTGTGTAGGATTTCCAAGGAGTGACAGTGGGTCAGTCCAGTATTTATCCTACAGCATCACACCAGCACCCTTATAATTGTAAAGCCCAATGAATCATCACACAGTGAAAACAGACAAACCCAGCACGTCACCACAAGCAGCATCCCAGAGGCATCTTCATTGTTTTCTACCTCCATTAATTACTGTCTCTTTCCTCTTTTTTTTCTATAAATGGAATGATTCTGTAAGTATTCTTTTGTGCCTGGCTTCTTTTGAGCAACATTATTTTTATTAGATTGATCCTTTAGTTTTGTGGGTTTTTTTTAAAGGACATAAATAAAAGGGAGTTTTCATACCATTGCATGTAGCCCTTTATTCAGATCATTGCATATAGCAGTGAACCATGAATTTTGAATGTCACCTATTTTCTGATTGTTGTTATTGTTGTTAAGTGCCATCAAGTCATAATATCCCTGTATAGGGTTTCTGGGGAACTGCTGGTGAGTTTGAACCACCGATCTTATGGTTCAAACTGACTTTGTGATCCAGTGCGTAGACTTGTGCTAGATGCTTTGGGACACAAAACAAGTATAAGATAACCTTCTCAGCTGGAAAAGATGTTATTTGCTGAAGGATATTAGATATTCTTAAATGAATGAATAATTAAAGATAGCTGTAAAATAAGTATCTTTATAAAATATTTATTTTACAAATAAGATAATATAATTTTATTAAAAAGGTACTAATTTTATAAAATAAAATAATATAATTTTATAAATAAAGGTACTAATTGAGTAGCTTTAAAAAACTGTAACCCATGGAGTTTAGTATGTGCTGTATGATGCAGAAAAACTTTAACAAAAGAAGGTGAAACTTCATAAGGATGAATGAATAGAGAAAATCAGGGAAAATATTCTTCACAGTGGAGACAGTGTAAGTTGTAGAAGTCCAAATGAATATAGGAATAAACGTACGAATAGTGGTATAGTTCACTAGTTCTCAGACTTGTCTACATATTGGAATAACCTGAAGAGTTTTAAAAGTTTCCAGTGCTGAAGCCCTACCTCAGAGATTCTGATTTATTGATATGAGGTTTGGCCTGGGCATCAGAATTTTTAAAAGTCTTTCCATCAAGGTAATTTTGATGTTGAATAAAGTGAGTTATTACAGTGGTTTCTACTTTGAGGAGGCAGTTCTTTCCCAGTCATATTAGTATTTTCCAACCAGAGGAGTTCATCTCCCAGCTCTGTATCAGACAGTGTCCCACTGCTATTCATGAGGTTTTCTACTGGTCAATTTTTTCAGAAATAAGTTACCAAAGCCTTCTTCATATTCTGCCTTAGTCTGGAAGCTCCACTAAAACCTGCCCACTATGGTGACCCTGCTGGCATTTGAAATTTTGGTGGTATACCTTCCAGCATCACAGTAACACCCAAGCCCCCACAGTATGACAAGTTGGCAGAGGAGTGGTCATGACAGATTTCATTTGCTGTTATTGCACAACTCAAAATTAGAAGAAATAGCTGCAAACATCCGCTAATGATCAGAATGTGAACTGCACAAAGTATGACTCTAAGAAACTTGAAATCCATAAAAAATGAAATATACGTAATGAAAAATTGCTAGGCATTAGTGAGCTGAAATGGACTGGTATTGGACATTTTGAATGGGACAATCGTATGTCTACTGTGCCAGGAGTGACAAACTTTTTATTGAACATCTGGTGTATGTCAGGCCTTGTAGAGACATCAGTGAACTAAGCATGGTCCCTAAGGCTACACAGTCTCATGAAACGAGAGGGAAAAAACAGCAACCCGGAAACCTCCAGATATCAGCAATTATAATCCAGTTTGATGAATCCTTAAATGAAAGTGAACACAATATATGCTATAAACCACATTGTCAGTTTCGTGAGGGCAGGAAATAAGCCTTAGTCACTGCGTTCCTAGCACCTGTACATGATAGGTATTCCAGGTACATACTAGGTACATACTAAAAAATTAACAGCGGCTAGGAGGAGTGGCCTTTTTTTTAAAAGACGTTTTTATTGTGAATTGAGTTAAAGTTTACAGGGCAGATTATCAATTTTACATTCTATAAATTACACTTGGCTTCATTGCAATGATTACAATCCCGTCCATGTACCAGCAGTCAACAGTATTTAC